GATGATGTCTTTGAGTTCCAAGCAGTCAAGATTTGCAACCATGTATTAAAAATGGCTCTTTAAATTGGGTGGGAAGTGGGGGGGGGTGTCTATATATAAAATGGTTGTAATTCCTAAATCATTCACTCAGTTTGGATGTAGATACCCTCAGAATAATGCTGAAAGTCACCTGGAGTTCATATTTATTATGTAATTTCAACTCCAATATGTTATGGCATGGCACATATAGACTAGGTTGAAAAAGTATATCTTCAATCTAGCATTTTGTAATTCACTACACTGGAATGAAAACAGTACAAACAGTATATGAAAACAGTATGAAGATGTGGCTGTAAAAATATTTAGTTGTATTGCTCCACAGCAGGCCTGGACTAATTTATGATATGGAACCTACAGTAGTGAGCTATCATTTATGGAGTCAGATCAAAGCTAACAGCCCAGGAACAGAACAACATGACACACAACACCACCAAGTCCAAACAGATTCATTTATCACTGTCATGTTTGTGATATAAAGCGAGTAAATTATCATTCTGGTACTTCTAAAGTAATTTTAGTGTATCCTTGAGCAACACGGCTTAGACATTGTCCCAAAACTGTCATCTTTAATCTGCCAGGCTTCATTTGGACTGTTTAACTGTCACTATTTTTTTTTCCCTTCAAGGTCATTTGCCTCCATCAGTGCACTTGGCAATTGGCAAACCCTCCTTGTTTGATTAATAAAGCCTAAAATAGGTAATGATTAAATGAAATTGAGTTGGCCTGCCTGACACAGAAGGCTCCGGATGCTTTGTGTGTGTCAGCGTGCAAAAGATTTGGCACGCCTGCAGTATTCATCTCCACTCTTCTGCCACCCTTTGATCCTGAATGAGAATTTGAAGATAAAAGGTGCTGGTGGTGGTTGGTGGTGGGGGTGGGGGGCGGGGGGTCATTACCTGTCTTGTGAATTGGGTCAGGTCGACAAGGCTTTCATCAGAGAGAGAGTGCCTTTAGATTGATCGACCGACGTTCCACTTCAAATGCTGCGGGGCAGGGCGCATGCCGCTAAACTTTAACCCTCACATGCTCCACGGCTTAACATTAAAGTCAAAGCACAAATCACCTGTGTTTTATTACAGCACTGCCTTCACTCAGATTTCTCTCTCTCTCTGCTTGTGCCCACCCACATCAAATGGAACTGCGACAGCAGTGGCAGTGGTATAAAAAAAATCTGATGGTTTTCTAAGCAGGAATTAGGACCACAATTAGAATCAAGCATGAACTGTTAGAAATAAAGGTTCTGTACAGGTACATTTTTCTTTCATGAAGGTTCAAACAATGTAAATTTACCCTCAGAGGTACAACATTGGTGTTAAGGTCCAGTTTTGCATCCCAGGTGAAAATACATACCTGTACCTTTTTATAGCCTAACGGTTTAAAACAAGACAATAAAATAAAAAGCCAGGAGATGAGACGGGGTGTGTGGAGTCAATACAACTTAGAAAATATAATTTCAATGGATTATGGTTCAATTTTGTTCCCTGACCAAAGATACTGAGATGTACCCTTGAGGGTACCACCCCAGTGACAAGAGCGGTACTGCCTCAGTGACAGTTTCATAGGTTTATTTCTGAGTGTATTAGAATCAGGTTTATTAGGCAAATATGGCAAGTATGAATTACAATCAGAATTAGAGAATTATTTTATTCAGCAAATGTGTCAAAATTAATCTCAAAATTTAAAGATCATATTGAATATATGGATCATTCTACCTGGTTCTAATTGATTCAAAGTCACAGTTGAAAACACATGGACTTTTAACTGACTTGTACGGAGCCCTGCTGGTGACTTCCAATATAAATTAAATTACTACTCAAAATTCAATTGACTCAAAATTTTAAGACAGCCTGAGCACTTTTTTATTTTTTTTTTATAGTGTACAGGGACAAACTTCAAAATGTCATTATTCTGCAAATTGTGGTGCATAATTTTATCTTACTTTAACATGCTGGAAAACAATATGTAAAATATAAAATGTGCCATAACATTTGCCACATTTTACATTTTTTTCCCCAATATGTTCAACTCAAATTATATAAAAATGTGCAGTAAATGTGCAGATGTGTGTTCTCTGTAGAGGATGTGTTTAATTATTTTCCCTTGAATATAACATATCATTTGACCAGGGGCCAAACCTTTCCATACTACTGTAAGTGTGTTTTGAATCAACAGGTTTCTGTTCTTTCCTAAATACAGGGAAACATGTTGAAATCATTGTCTGTGCTAATCACCCGTAGGTTGCAGATGCAGCAGATCTGACTGGACTGAAAAACACTGGAGTTTTCCTTTAACCATTAACAGTCTTAGGCTTTAAAAAAACACACTATAACAGCCATTTAAAGAAAAACCCAGTACTTATCTGAAGATTCATAACTTCCTGTGAGCATCTTTATCAGCAGAGAGGCCGCTGTGCTTGGGCTGAGCGCTTGATTTCCTGGAACATGGAGACGTATATTTAGCTCTTTAGTGATAAAGAGCGTGCAGAGGGAAGAGGATAATCAGTCAAGAGCTACAGACTCCTACAACTGTGTAGGATGCCACCTGAATGGCCGGAAGTGTTTGAGGCTCAATTCTGCCAGAGGAGGGAAAGGGCCACCCCCATGGCTCACTCTAATGGAACATGCTGCATCTGTCTGTAGCTTTGAGGAATGAGCCCATTCACCCCACACTGAGAGAAGTGCTGAGGCTGCCTTTAGCGTTTACGCTCCGCAGCCTTGGCAAGACATACAGCAAGCATCTTCAGTCAGTAATGCTAAAAAGCAGCTTTGAAACATTTCCCTGTTATTTAGCATTTTCTGTATAGATTTCACTTTTGTATTATCATTTTTCTGATATAAACTTCATCTACATGTCTTATTATGGGCAATGGTGTATATATTATAATAAAAATAATAATATACTTTTAAAATAACATTTTATGTCAAATATGACCATATACTCTTTATAGTAAGTTATATTATATTATTTAGGATATTAATTCATATACTTATAATGTTATTGTAACTTTACTGTTATTATAGGCTCTAATTAATAAAAATAATAAAAATGAGTAAAACAGTATTATGTTAAGTTATGCTAAATATAATGACATAAAACATTTATTGTTGTTTAGAATCTGTACAGAATTTTCCACAATGCCTTATTATAGGCTTATATATTTGCCTCAGTGTAGAACAGCAATGCATTTACTATGCATATTTCCTGTTAAACGTCTAAGGTCAGAGAGGCTTTTCAAACAGGCCTGTGATTTAAGTATGATTTAGTATAGCACTATTAAGCTGACGTATCACATTATCACTCATTCCATTTGGTAAGGCTGCAGTTGGAGGTTATCTGCGGCGCTCTGTGTAACCCACATGGCGTCTGTGCTGGCTTTGAACGCTGCACACCCTTTTCTGATACCGACACAATAGGAGGGAGTGATGAGTGGCCTTTAGGGTGGACCAGAGAGTGATAGCGCTGGGGTCTGATCAGGACTTCAGTGGGAGGGAAGAGGAGAAGGCTTACTTCGTTTTTAAAAACAGATGCTTTTCCACTGAGTCTGTGATAAGATAAGCTTGACCTTCAGGGTTAACAAGGGTCAGCTATGAAAGTACCCCTAAAGGTGTAATTTAAACTATTAAAAACCATCTATATTCAATCATAACCTGTTTAAGACCCATTGCACTCAAATTATGCCTTGTAATTGTTTAAGTCGTCCTGGATGATTAGCGTGATTTATATAGATTGATATTTTGGGTCAATTAAATTTGTTACCATATTGCTAGTTCTCCTTTGAAAACTGAGGCTTTATCAGTACATCCGTATAAAAACAACTGAATGGGTGGTAGGAATTAGCTTGATGTCACAAAATAGGCTTGAACCTATCATGGCTCAGTACACTACATTTTTGCTAATTAAAGCACAATGGTTTGGAAACTTTTAGTTACAGAACCTGTGCACACTAACTTGGACTAGCTATTGTTAGTGGTGTTTGGACATAGCAGTTAGCTAGTGGCAAACCATGACTATTAGATCTAGGCCTTTGGGCCAGTTTGGGCCATAAATATCAAAATTCAGTCAAAACGAGAAAAAAACATCTCTATGATTATGCTAATTTGTGCTAGCACACCTTTGGCATTCCAGTAGTATAACAGGACTAAGCTATAAGCGATTCACATAAACATTTTTTGGCCATCCTAGATTAAACTCAGACATTTGAAGCTTGTAAATGATCCATGTTTCCACGTAAAACCTTGTAACAGATATATTAACAATTAAACTTCAACAATTACTTTAGTTAATTCTATACAGTTGTATGAAAGTTTGTATGAAGTTTGAAACCCCCAACAAGTTGCACATTTTGTTGATTTTCTAGGTGAAAATGTTCATACATTCTTTACAGAGACCGAAATTAAATGTAACATTTTAGTGCACAATTTCTATTTATATGTTGAGTTTAACATATAAAAAATTTTGCCATAACTTTTGCACAGACTGCATCCAATATGTTAAATTCAGCAAATAAACAGTAACTGTGCATTAAAGTTTGCAGAACTGTGTTCTCTGTAGAGAATATTTTAACATATTTTCACTTAGAAAATCAACAAAATGTGTCATTTGGTCAGGGACAGTAAAACCTTTGCATAAAACTGTATTTTGTTGCTTACTAACTGCACTGCTGCTGGGAGGCAGAAGGCACGCTGGATTGGGTTGCTGATTGGTGCTGATCATTCGCAAAACTTTAGACTAATAACATACATAAAACTATATAAACCTGCTAAAACTAAAATAGAAATGTAGTACTGTGTTTTACGTTGATGACTTACAGCCCACTTTGAGCAAACAAGAGCCTCAAAATGAACAGTTCTGCTTTTCACCACCAGGTGGTACTCTGTAGCTGTTTCAGAGAAACAAGCCTTCCAAAGACTTTAAATAGAGTAACTTCCAAAATCTACAACAAATCACTCCTGCACTATACATTCTCAGTCATTGTTTTATTGATCCAATGTTGATTTATGTCATTCGGCTTGTACAATGACCTGTTCTTTTAAAAAGTTCCAATGAAGCGTCTCTTTTTCAAGACTGATGTGAAGAGATGATCTAATACTTTCCACCCTGAGAGATATAGATAATACATATAAACAAGCCCAGTAAGAGAAAATAACATATACATACAAAAATCTTTAAAACGGCTGAACGTCCTCAGTGCTGATTTGGAGCTCACACATACTTACAGTGTGAATGTCAAATGCGTGTGGATTTGCGCTAAAAGATACCAACGGAGCAAGCCACTTAAAAATGTGATATAAAAATATCATACATCCTTTCAACTGCAAAACATTTATCACAGTGATTACAAAAGATGCAACATTACCCTTGATGAACTTAAGAAAGAGGTGCTGTCAATGATGCTCAGTGGAAGTGTATATAATGATGCAGCTCATTACATTTTTGTGAATACAGTAAGTAAGTGATTTCAAATGAGCTGGAAAACTCATATAGGCTGAAGTGAAGAGGATACAGCACCATGAGAGTTAGACGTGAGGACTGGGAAACATAGCTGTTGTGAAAAATTAATGAGGTGTTATAAAAAGCGAAAGTTTTGAGCATTCAAGATAAAATTGGTACAGTATAAATAACATCTGGCAGAGGGTATTTTTAATACTTAAAAGAAGAAATTTTGCTCAAAAGCTAACAGTCTCTGCAGTCCCAGATTCCCTGTTTGTCCCCAGCTCTGACAGAACACAAGCTGTTAGATTCCTGTCGGTTAAAAACAGTCCCAACTCTTTGGTAAGGTACTTTCAAATCAAAATCTGTTCAGCAAACAGAGACACTTGCAAACTGAGAGCTAGCGAGTCACTCTGACTCTCCAGCTTAGCACCATTAATCAGTGGTTCTCCAGTCCCAGGGAGCCACTGCCCTGCACTGTTTAAAAACGTTCCCTGCGCAGAACATCTAATCCAGCCCAAAAAGGACTAGAAGATCTACCATCCAGCAACGTTCTGTTAATCTAGCACCTGACCTACTTAGTAGAGTTTGGGACATTCCAACCCTGATAGAACCCGACTGTTCATATTCAGGTTTAACTGTCATTTCTCAAATATGTGTCAGGCTCGCATCAGGTTCAAATTTCACATTCAAACCACTTTAAAAAGACTTTACCCTGCACTTCTCCCTGTTTTAGTTTTCTCCTTATGTCTTCGCTGCTTTCTCTACCACAAATCGTTTTTTAATCTGGCACGCTGGAGTTGCCCTTCAATACTAAAGTCCCAAGGCCCATGTTCATGTTAAAATGGGACATAAACAGTAAATCAATTCAGGAAAGTACAGTTTGGTGCAGCCAAAAGGATGTTTAATTTGTTTGACCTAAACATTTGTGTTGTATGTTCAATATGTTTTATGTGCAGAAATGTAGTTTTAATATTAAACAAGTGAAACCAACATCTCACTGTATCAGCACCACATGGCGTGATAACAGCGTAGTACAGAAAGGCCACTTCTTTATGTTCACCTTCTTGTATCTGCACTCTTTGTCCATTTTATCAGCTCCACAATTACAGACTGCATTCCCTCTGTTTCCTGCATACTTTATTAGCCCCCTTTTTACCTTGTTCTTCAGTGATCAGGACCCCCACAGAGCAAGTATTTGAATGGTGGAACATTTTTAGCACTGTGCTGTGAGAATAGTCCACCGACCAAAAGTATCCAGTCAACAGTGTCCTGTGGGCAGTGTCCTGTGACCACTTATGAAGCACTAGAGGATGACCAACATAAACTGTGCAGCAACTGATGAGCTATTGTCTGTGACTTTGCATCTACAAGGTGAACCAACATGGTAGACATGTCTACAAGAGTGGACAGTAAGTGCACACATTGTTTAACAACTCCAGCAGCACTGTTGTGTCAACAAGCACAACACACACTAACACGCCACCACCACATCAGCATCACTGCAGTGCTGAGAATGATCCACCAACCAAATTATACTGGTTTTGTGTTGTTCCAGTGGGAGTCCTGACCATTAAAAAACAGGGTAAAAGGAGTCTAACAAAGCATGCAGACAAACAGTTGAAATACAATATGCTTAGCTTGGAAATGTTCCATGTTTCTGACTACAAAACACTTGAATACAGATGTAATTACGACTTTCCAGGTAAACCCTTCAGGACCACAGTTGGGCAACTCCAGGCTTGATGACTGCTTGACAAGCTTAACTGAAACAGTGCAGGGCAGTGGGAGCCCAGGACTGGAGCTGAGAACCACTGTCGTAAATCATCTATGTAGTGTGACTGAGAGTTTGCCTTCACATGGAGTGTGCTGTGATAAAGACGTAGATGCGTGCAAGGAAGGTGGTGAAAGTGCCCTGGCGCAGGAGCTTCATCTCCACATCGATGAGGAAGTCCTGCGGGCCATGGATCTGCCGCTGCAGGTATACGGCTCCAGTGAAGCTGTTGAGGCGCCGGGTGCTGAAGTAGCCTTCCTCATTCCCCCGCGGGATGCTGATGATGATGTTATCGCCTGAATAGGCCGGAGACGGGCCAATGCGGAAGATCTGCGCTGGGATGACAATGTTGGTCTGGAAGCTAAGCTGGTAGTAGGTGATTCGCAGAGGCATGTTCTGACAATTCTGGAAACTGGGGCAGCTCACACGCTCACAGCGTCTAAAAAGCACATAGAGGATGTTATGGTAACAATGAGAACAGAAAAATATCTTTTCATTGTTTCTGGTCTTGTTTATAACCTCAGATACCACAGCACATGAGCACAGGTAGTGCAGAGATACAACTGCATTACCTTAAACTTTGAATATATTTTTAATAGCATGTTCTTGGCAAATCAAAAACTTGTATACAAATGCATTTTTGTAACTTGTGTACAAACGCATTGCCTTAAAAAAAGGAGCTTAAAGATGATATAATCAGCAAAACTTAATTTTGATAAGTAATAAAGATAAGTATGTATATAACTATTCAAATTAGAATTGTGTGTTCCAAAGACCACTCATCGGTCACTATACGAGAGACACCTACTTTGTAGGACCCTTGTTGGTTAGAGATTGTACCCTACCTCTTGATGCACAATTTGTCAGCCTTTCATTAATGCTCAGTTTCTGACCTTTTGGCTGGATATTTGGAACACCAAGAGTACAAAGTGCCTGATAGCCTCTTACAAGCGATTCACACACTACCATACCACTAACATGTCAGTGTCATTGCTGTGCTAAAAAGGGTCCACCATCTAAATAATATCTGGTTAGCAAAGGCAGTCTTGAAACTGAAACAGAAACTGACCAGTGATGAATGAGCTGGAGGGGGCTGATAAACTGAGCAAGTATAGATGGGCTACAGTCTGTAATTGTAGATCTCTATAGATGACCTACTATACACCTACATAGACCTAATAAAGTGACTAGTGGGTTAAAGAAGATGTTTCTAAAAAAGTGGATGGTAAGTAGAAGTGCTACCTATTGCCTAATCAACACTAATCCTCATTCATCAACCATTCTTGCAAAGAAATCTCTTCTTAAAACTCACTTACACAGTTTTTACAAAGATTCTGACATTCACCAATGTTTTCTTGTTTGGGATTTGTTCTTAGGTAAAAACAGAATCTACATACACTCAAGAGCACACAGGTGAGAACAGTTCGGCACTTTAAGAACACATCATGAATCTGACTTAGACTTTTTCTTAGGACCTTTCTCAAGAACAAATTTAAGAAAAAACTAAGGAAGGTATTGGCGAATGAGGCTCATTGTTATTATTTAACAATAATATTCTGTCTGTATTTTGCAGAATAAAAGAATTCTACTTGCTGACGTTCAACCCACCTAAAAAAATATTTAATTTATTTTATTAAGTTCTTAAAAAACCTACAATTTTCTCAAAATGGTTAAAGAGATTGATTATTATGTTTCTAAGCTAGTTGATGAGTGAGTAAATGATTGAGTGAGTGAGCGAGTGAGTGAGTGAGTGAGTGCGTAGGCCCAACCAATAAATCATTTGGCCAATAATACTGGACGACAAGCATGAAAAGCATGCCAATAAAATGCCAATAATTAATTTTAAAATGTTATTTAAGAGAACAGCTGTTTATTTGAGTTATTTTTTTCATACCTGAAAACTGACAATCCCATTTGACTACAATCAGTTATATCTGTCTTTAAAGCACTGTCTAAATAACCCTGTTGGAGCTTGTTTACTTTTGACCATATGAAATTATATCAGCCAACATTATCAAGTTTCTAACTTTTTAGCTCCTTAAAATCAGCATCATATTGTGACAAAATGTTCATATTAGTTGGACCTCAGCTTCTAGCACTGTAGGTATATCTAATCTGTGTGTGCTGCAGGGGGCTGTGTGTCCTCATGAGACTGTATAGGCGTGTGTTTGTCAGAAGCCCCATTTGATCAGAAGCAGTTGCCTTCATCTCTCAGTCTAATGAAAATCGTGCTCCAGCAGGGCCGAGCTCAATAAACCTGCCACAGGCATGGATTTCCTTACTTAACAAGGCCATTTCGGAAACACACGGGACCAGAGGGGCATAACACACACACACACACACACACACACTGCCCATCAAGAGTTTGGGGACAACTAGTTTTTAAAATGCTTTTATTCAAATTAATGTAAAAACACAGCATATAAAAGACTAAGCAGGTTTGTTTTAATTTGCCTTTTTTTCTGCCAAAATTTCATAAATGCGCATGAAATTTGTGAAACATTTAAATAGAAACCTGGCTGCTGAAACCTAATTATTAGAATGCCACACTAAAACTCTTTCTTATTCAGTATTTTCACTTATATATCAGTTCCTGGTGTCCTGTATGTGCGTAAAGATAAAAAGTTCACTCACGTGTCTGACACTTTCCTGTAGTTCTCAGGGCATGTAAAGGACAGACAACGGAAACTGCCCTGGATGTTGTAGCATGTTTGGGTGGCCGAACAGTTGTGTACTCCAGTGGCACACTCATCAATGTCTGGAACAACATAGAAAATGTAATAGTCAGATGTAAAGACTCTGATGTTTATGAAATTACAGGCTGTTTTTCAAATATATCCAGTTCTTCTGACTTAAAATACTTATGGCAGCTTTGTCTTGGGCTCTGTGTTGCTCATTGAGAAACTTCATCCAGTACTGAGTCAGAACTGCAGTGTAACTTCTTAGTGCATCCAGGATCTATCAGCATTAGTTTTTTAGACTTCATTATTTTGGAATCCCAGAACAGAAAGAAACACTGCTCCTTCAATTTCATGTACTTAAAAAAAAAAACAGTAATTGTTTTTTAGCTGCTGTTTTTGGTTTTATTATTTTTCTCTTAGACCTCTTATCTCTGATTCATGCATATTTGCTGTTTCCAAAATTGCTTATGTACAAACACATTACTGAAGCGATGCTTGGTTCTGAGTTGCAGCCACCGCATGAAGATTTTTTAATGGATGATCGTTCAGTAACACAAAAAATGCCACACTCAGCTCTATTTAAAACCTTTTTTTTACTTTTTAAATAAAAGTACTATGATGTACCATGTAAACATGGTAAACGTGTTAAAGTTTCAAAATGTACCTTTCACTCCCCGATATACATACTCTCCCCAGCTCATACGTGGAAACAAAGCTGCAAAAATTCATATTTCAATTCATATGACAACCATATGACTGCCTATTCAGCTTACAGCAGTTTAGCCCCACCAATTCATGTTGAACTGATGAGGAGTGTTGTTACTGCAGACAGTCTATAGCAGAGTTATTAGAGTGTAGGATATGGGGAAAATGATCAAATGTTGTGCTGTTTGTGGCTGTCAGAAAGCTAACAGAGGACATCCAAGGAACTGCATGATACCCTGGACTACATTTTGAATGAGGCACAATATAGGGCAGCCAATCAGAACATTTACACATATAAGTCTTAAAGGGCCCATATCATTAGATAACAAATTTTCCTCTCTTAATGGATATAAAATGGCACGGTATAGTGTGTAAACATTGTTAAAATTTCAAACTGTGCTATTCAGTCCCCTATTTGCATAGTCCACATTTGGAAACTAAACTGCAAAAACAGCATGTTTTGAATTCAGTGTTTTTGAGATGTCACAAAGTCTGACTCATTTACATATATCCACCTATTTAACCAACAACAGTTCAGACCTGTTCAATCACAGTGAAGTTTTAAGGAGTGTTTTAGCCTGGACTGCTTTTTGAATTAGGCACAATACAGTTCAGTCAATTAGAACCAAGATTATTTACATATATGGGTCACTCTACCATGTTCAAATTCAGAGTTTATAACCCATTTAAGACTTTTAACTGTCTTGGACTTTAGACAAATATCCTTTTACTATGAGCAACCCTATTTTTATTCTATTTTTTTATTTTATTTTGCTAAAATAAATGATTGAACATTCAACTTTATCACTGCCAAAACAATAAACACATAGACTACATAATATAAGCTAACCCACAACTTAGCTAATATTAGTTAAATTGCTTGCTGTGTCGTTGTTCACTCTAACTAACAACTAATAGTGTACGGACTAATACCATGATGTAACTCTAAAGTCCGTACACTATTTGCGATAGGGTTTTATGGCCAGAAAGATCTAAAAAAACTTTCACTTTGGCAATGCACATCCATTAATTTGGGGTTCAGTGCTTCTGACGTAGCACTGAAGTGAGGGGCGTATTTGTTTCGCTGTTGAGTTCAAATATCAACAATCTTTCTCCAGAATTGCTAACTCCACCTTTAAGCTTAAACAGATCATAACATAATTCCCTTAAATATAAACAAATACTAAATAATTTAATACTTGTTGTTTTTTATTATTGTTGTATGTACTGTTGAATTGCAGTTTGAACTATTTTCATAGAATAGTCCATATAAGCCTTAATAGCACAGTAACAAAAACAGGCTGTTTTATTCTGGGGGAGAAAGAGAAGTTGGAAAATGGTGATATAAAAATGATTTACATTGTTTTAGTACTTAGATCTGCACAACTGTGAACATAAGTGAAAAAAAGAACAATGTAGGATATGGGCTCTTCATAAGCACAGAAACAAAAACAGCCTATTTAACTGTAAATATAAAAAGGGGAGGAGTTATAACTGCTTTTGGTACAGAAAACTACACAAATGCAAGGAGTGAATAAAATTAAATGCAAGATACTTGTACAACATAAACATGGCGTTTAAAAGGAGCCATATTAAACCTAAATCACCCAGACTCTGGTCAGTGCCAGCCATGTGCTGGGCTTTGTTCTTTAGGAGTCAGTAGCATTGCCTGCAGCCGCAATTAATTATGCATCTCATCCCACAGACGCAAAGTTCTTGATACGGCTCGCCAGCTTCAATCCGCTCGCTAATTCATTCAGAGAGCGCTTACACTAACCTCTGGGAATGGGCAGAGCTTCTATCTACCTCTCTCTCTTTCTTTCTATCTCTATCTCTCAATCTTCTCTTGGTCAGAGGGGAGATGTGCCACTTTGTGATCTTTCCTGACAAGAGTGATGGAGATTGAGTGCTGCTTCACTGGACCTGAGGTCAAGGTCTTGCAAATCAAGTTACTTGTCCTTTCAAATTAGGAAAAGGAAGGAATTGAGGAGCTTTCATTTGCTTTTTTTGGTCAGTGATCAACCACAGATTGAAACTTGGATTTATCAGTCTAATTAGACAAGCAAATGATCTATCCATAGTTACAAAGGCATGTCCCATAATTAAACGGTGAAGATGTAAACAATATCATTCAAATTGAGAACAAACAAGGACAAATAACAGTTGTGGCTACTTACCGGTAGGTAAACAGGTACCATCTACCATATGGCTAGCCATGATGCTGAAAATGATAAGGCTGTGCTAGGTAATTATGTTTTTGTCATACAATTTCTAAAAAATCCACTTAGTATTACTAAGAGAAATGTAAGAAGTTAAAAAGAAAAAAGTTTGTTAAGGGTAGTAAAGAGTTAGCTTTATGGAACTAAATTTATCTATATTTTGTATGTTCCAATATTCATTATTATAATAATATAATATATACTAATATTCACATTCCCACCACAATATCTCGCAATGTGGTAGTGGGTGGGCAGGACAAAGCATGCATGAACAGAAACCCCACAAATTAATGAATAGCCTAAATAAAGTAGAACGATCACTAAATCACTGATATAAACAATATAAAAAGACGGTAACAGTAAAACAATTAAAATGAATGAAGTCATTCTAAAGAGCTGCAAAGCAGCTGTTCACATAAACAAGATGAAAATTCTTGTAGATTACAGGAAGATGGCAGGAGTGAGATTCAGAGAGGGAACCCCAAGTTTACTTAAACAGGCCAGACTTCATTTTCATTCAGAAACAGCTCTGTATGCTTTACATTTTATTCCTAATTACTTTATTTCAAGTGACAGGCTTTTTAAAAGATGTTTACTCTGATCGGATATTACTTTCTAAGTAAGTACACTACATTGCCAAAAGAATTTGCTTGTCTGCCTTCACACACATATGAATTTGAGTGACATCCCATTCTTAATCCATGCGGTTTAATATGATGTCGGCCCACCTTTGCAGCAATAACAGCTTCAACTCTTCTGGGAAGGCTTTCCACAGGGTTTAGGAGTGTGTTTATGGGAATATTTGTGAGGTCAGACACTGATGTTGGACGAGAAGGCCTGGCTCAAAGTCTCTGCTCTAATTCATCCCAAAGGTGTTCTCATCCATGTCTTTATGGACCTTGCTTTGTGCACTGGTGCGCAGTCATGCTGGAACAGGAAGGGGCCATCCCCAAACTGTTCCCACAAAGTTGGGAGCATGAAATTGTCCAAAATCTCTTGGTGTGCTAAAGCATTAAGAGTTCCTTTCACTGGAACTAAGGGGCCAAGCCCAACTCCTGAAAAACAACCCCACACCATAATCCCCCCCTCCACCAAACTTTACACTTGGCTAATCTGAAGGCCACATGAAGATTGGAGGTCTGTAGCAACTGACTCTGCAGAAAGTTGGTGACCTCTCCGCACTATGCACCTCAGCATCCGCTGACCCCGCTCTGTCATTTTACGAGTTGCTGTCGTTCCCAATCGCTTCCTCTTTGTTATAATACCACTGACAGTTGACTGTGGAATATTTAGTAGCGAGGAAATTTTACGACTGGACTTGTTGCACAGGTGGCATCCTATCACAGTACCACGCTGGAAATCACTGAGCTCCTGAGAGTGACCCATTCTTTCACAAATGTTTGTAGAAGCAGTCTGCATGCCTAGCTGCTTGGTTTTATACACCTGTGGCCATGGAACATCTGAATTCAATGATTTGGATAGTGTATGAAAAGACTATTAACCTTTAACCTAGTGAGACTACTTTTTCAAGGAAGTAATCAGTAAAGTAAACTCAATTTAGTTTAAGAGAAGTAAACAGCAATTTTTTGAGTAACTACCCAAAACTGTCCATAAAGAAATTGCTTGGAAAGTGTGGTGCAAAAGAACTTAACTGGACTCACTTATTTTTACAGTTGCGCTATGCCAATCAGAGATTTAAATAAATCAAAGAAGTGCATGTGCTCCTTTTATATTTTCATCTTATATATGATATTTCTTTGCAGCATAACTAAAAGGCCAAGTTAGTCAGAAATCTTAAGATACACTCAATTTTAGGTCTAGAGGGGCACTAATTATTTTTATTCACAATATTAAATTTTGTTCCTTTTACAATGTTCGTGAGGTTCTATATACAAGAAACTAGGGGTGCGGGAAAAAATCGATTCTTAGATGCATTGCGATGCGGACGTGAACGATTCTGAATCGATTCACAAATGTCAAAAATGGCTTTTCTAATATTTAATTTATAACGTAATGTTGACGGAACGCAAAAGGCGGAACTTGGAAGCGCGGAAGTACAGTGCCCGGACAGTCTGTGGCGGCACATAACAAAAACACAACTGGATGAGAGAGAAATCCGACCAGCATTAAAAGCCAGGTCAGGTCAGGAGTCACAACCCAAATGTTTAGAAAAGCCATTTTGTCCCTTCAACAAAAATCAAACCACCCTGGAGCCACAACATTTAATGTCCAGTATGTCTCAGTATGTCTTAGTATAGGCTAGATGATATAAACGAGAGCGCAGATTTACTTCGCTCTGCTTTGAGCTTTAATAGCCGTTTTGCTCCCATCTCCGCCAGAAAACTTTTCCTCAAAACTAGAGCAGTTTATTGTAAAACATCTCTCAATGTTTGACTGTTTTACGAAGCTGAAGTCGCTTCTTATTCTCCAGCTTCTTGTTCAAATTTTCCCGTTCCACCTTAAATTCTGCCTTAGGCGCCAAATGTAAAAGCGGCACCATTTAAGGTGAAACGGGAAAATTAGAAAGAGAAGCGACTTCATCTTCGCAACTGTTTACAGTCTCTTGTTGCAGATTTAACTTGCCAGGAAACCAGCTGCGCTGCTTATAAATGCGAATAACGCATCACTGCAGTCTGCACGCCAATTCTCAGTCGTTGCAAAACAGGGCTTTTGCACTGTGTTGCATACGTCCCGTCTCAGGGATATTTTATTGACACAGCGACCCCCCCCCACTCTCTACAACGAGATCAAAACCAAAGTTATAAAATCACTAAAGAAAGCGGGTAGGACGGCTGTAACGCGCTGCGTGGAGATCTATTACCACAGGATCTTATGTCACCGTAACTGCGCATTTTATCGCAGATGAGTGGCAGCAGCGTGTGCTCCAAAAGCAGTGAATGAGAGTCTTCTAGTTCACTTGCCGCATCACTTCTATTTGATTTATTAATAAAAGATACTGGAAGCAAATTCATTATGGATCATTGCAAATACTTTGCTTTAAAACTACCAAGTCCTCACACAGTGAGAAAATAGAAATGATGTATAGAAAAAAGATGCATCGAGATGCATCGATAATCGTTTTATAAACGCATCGCAGCACTCTGAATCGGAATCGAATCGAATCGTGAGGTGCCTAGAGATTCCCACCCCTACAAGAAACCATTTGTAATTTCATTTTACATCACTTTCCAATCCCTAGACATAAACAGGGTATTTTGTGGACTTGTTGTGCATGATATGTTTTAAATTTCTAGCAATGTTTACATAGTACATCGAACTCTTATTTAAAAAGGGCGAGGACAATTCTGTATTTCATGCTATGGGCCCTTTAAATGGTTAAACCTAAATGCTTCTGGATTGCCATTACCTCGACAGGTACGCCCATTGGGGGACATGGAGTATCCCTGGGGGGGACACGCGCACTGGTAGCTGCCCGGGACATTCATGCACTGGAAGGCACAGAGGTTTCCAATGCTTTGGGAACATTCGTCGATATCTACAAGCCAAACAAGAGAATGACATTTTGTCAGCCCCGCAGGGAGAGAAGACGATAAAAGCTAACAGCATATCGACACAGAGCTGTGTGTATTTACCAGGGAGGGGCTGGACAAAGTGTGTGTGTATTTAACTCTTTGTTGACCATGGTTAGATATCCACGGAATTTTACAGACTCTGCATACTTTGTTAGCCCCCTTTTACCCTGTACTTCAATGGTCAATACTCCCACAGAACCACCACAGAGCAGGTATTATTTGGGTGGTGAATTATTCTCAGCTCTGCAGTAACACTGACGTGGTAGTGGTGTGTTAGTGTGTGTTGCACTGATACAAGTGGATCAGACACAGCAGTGCTGCCGAAGTT